TATAATAATAATAACTATAATGAAAATTAATTAAAGGGATTTTTTGCCTGATATTTAATAACGAATTTGATTAATTAATTAATGTGAAATAGGTGCAGTTGGTAAATCGCTTTTATACGATTTATTGAAATCGGAAAAATTTAACGTTGTCACTTCAATTGGACGAAGAGAAATTGAATATGATGGTCCAAATAAGGAATCTTTGGTATAATCATTAGATTGCCATTGTCATTATGTTATAATTGTTAGGCAGGCAACTTATTTTTAAATTCAAAAATTTTTTTTGACAGATTCAAAAAGTTGTTGATTTTGAAAAATTGAATCAACATGCGGATGATTTTAAAGGGCACGAGTGAGTGTACTTGACAATAACAACAACAACAACAATAATAATCGTAATAATCATTGTTTTTAATTCAATGTTTTCATTTTTCTCTATATATTCTTGTCAAAGTGTTATATTTTGTACATTAGGTACAACAAAAGCAGCAGCAGGATCAGCAGAAAATTTTATAAAGATCGATAAAGGATATGTGATAAATTCTGCAAAATTGGTTAAAGAACAAAATATCAACAATAGTAAATTACATTTTTTATATTGCTCGGCCGGTTGGACAGATGCTAATTCATCCAATTTATATATGAGCGAGTGATGGATGACAATAGAAGGAGAAGGAAAATTTGTTATTATAATTGATCCAAGGTATAGTTTCAAAGATAAAGTAATATATTTATTTATTAATTAATTATTTGAAAATATGTTTATTTCTTCTTTTTATTAATTAATTACAATCTGATCGACATGTGTTAAGTCCGGTAAATCACAAGAACTTGGCTTAAAAGTTAAAAAAGCAAGTCAATCATGGCAAAATAGCTTACAACTTTTGGCAACTAAATTATCAAACGCTCAAGGTATGAATTCATCACTACAGATTATTACAAGTGTAATCGTGTGGTAATAGAACAGATATATATGTATATATGTATATGTAATATATATACTAATATAGTCAAATTTCTAAAGCAACATATGACTTATTATAGTAATGGTAATGGTATGGTTGAACACATAATAAAAATTTTCATTACACAAATTCTAAATTAATTAAAAAAGAAAATGGCTGATAAAAAAAATGCGTTAATATTTGGAGCATCAGGTATAATAATAATAACTATAATGAAAATTAATTAAAGGGATTTTTTGCCTGATATTTAATAACGAATTTGATTAATTAATTAATGTGAAATAGGTGCAGTTGGTAAATCGCTTTTATACGATTTATTGAAATCGGAAAAATTTAACGTTGTCACTTCAATTGGACGAAGAGAAATTGAATATGATGGTCCAAATAAGGAATCTTTGGTATAATCATTAGATTGCCATTGTCATTATGTTATAATTGTTAGGCAGGCAACTTATTTTTAAATTCAAAAATTTTTTTTGACAGATTCAAAAAGTTGTTGATTTTGAAAAATTGAATCAACATGCGGATGATTTTAAAGGGCACGAGTGAGTGTACTTGACAATAACAACAACAACAACAATAATAATCGTAATAATCATTGTTTTTAATTCAATGTTTTCATTTTTCTCTATATATTCTTGTCAAAGTGTTATATTTTGTACATTAGGTACAACAAAAGCAGCAGCAGGATCAGCAGAAAATTTTATAAAGATCGATAAAGGATATGTGATAAATTCTGCAAAATTGGTTAAAGAACAAAATATCAACAATAGTAAATTACATTTTTTATATTGCTCGGCCGGTTGGACAGATGCTAATTCATCCAATTTATATATGAGAGTTAAAGGAGAAATCGAAAATGAACTGTGTGGAATTGGATTTGATCGTGTTAGTGTTTTTAAACCACATTTTTTAATTCCAAAGGAACCTAGAGGTAGATTATTGGAAAGTATTGGTATGAGGACGGCCAAATTTTTTATGGGAAATAGAGCTACTATTGATGTAGATATTGTTGCTAGAGGTATTTACTTGGGCTTTTTTGGAATGGTTTTTTGGTTGTAAAATAAAAAAATCTTATTTTTTTTTATTTTTTTTTTTAGCCATGAGAAGAGTTGGAAGTGGTGAAAATGAAATTGAAGTTGAAAGTAAGAAATTAGAAAATGGAACAACCCTTGATATTATAACACATTCTCAAATTCATCGAATTGGAGGAAACTTTGAATAAATTTATTATTTTTATTTTTATTTTTATTATTCAATTATCAATTATCAATTATCAATTTAATGTTATTATAAAAGGACATTTGATACTTAATTACTATAATCTATTAAATCTTATCAAATTTATGTGTGATCTTAACAATAATAATTATAACAATTATATTTTTAATGAAAACATACATTATCAATCATTCTTTGATATCTTTTTCATCTGCATCTTTGACGGCATTTGTTTTTATGATGTCGTTTGTATCTTTGATGTCGTTTGTATCTTTGATACCTTTTGAAGTATTATCATTGTCACTGTCATGAATTCCAATCACTACTACTTTTTCATCATCATTTCTACTATTTTCAGGATTCACGGGGGTGACAACATTTTTATTTTTCCTTCGGTTATATTTCACAATCAAATAAATTGCTGAAATAATAAGTGCAGCAGCTGATATGGCAGCTAAAGTCATTTTCACAATAAAAAGTCTGTTATTATTATTCATAGTATTATTTGCAGTATTAGTGTTATTATTGTTATTGGTAGGTGGTGTTGCAGTAAAGTTGTTCAACCATTTATAATTATTTTTATCGGTAACATCCAAAATTAAAATATTTGAAAAAAATCCATCCACTTGATTCGTTCGGATTTTACCTATAATATGTTTATTTTTAAAAATATTAAGATATTAGTTTCATAATTCTAAAAAATAGAACAACAACAGCAATGATAATGACAAATAACAATAGTAATTACCAAATGCAATTATCATATAAGTATCTTTATACAATGTTGCAGTGTGCGTATAATGAAGTGTGTTAATTGCAGTAGGATAAACAATATTTTTTGGAGTTGTCCACTCAAAATTGTTTTTGGTGTCCAAGATTGCCAATTTATCTGGTTCGTTAGTTCCACCATACACGATTATTCGTCCATCGGGTGCTATATATATATAAAATAAATTATTAGATGTATTAATCATAATAATCAAGCAAGATATAGATAGATATTACTTACTCATTACCGAAGAATGTTTAAGTCTTATGGAAGGTGTATAACCAGTTGTATTCTAATAACAATAATATATAATTAATTGGGAAGGAGAACTTGGAAAAAAAAAATTTTTTTTCATCATAAATTTTTACCACAGGAGTCCAAGTATCTTTATTAATATTATAAATGGACAACTAAATTTTTTTAAAAAAAAAAAAAAAAGTTAATACACATTTACAAATTTATATTTGCAATCTAAATGAATAATAATTATTATATATACTTGAGACAAATTTTTTCCAATAAGAATTATCTCATTGTCATTTAATAGATGAAGAGTAACCATGGTACTTAGATTATTGATATTTGCATTAGTTTCTTGTAATCTTTTTTCAATTACCAATTTGTCAATGTCTACACTAAAGAAAGTTGATCCGCTTAACACGTAAACTTTATTGTTATTATCGTCCCGCACAAAAGCTGTATTTCCGATTAAACTAGTGTCAAACTCTTCACTGAAATTTAAAGGTTTCCAGGTGTCAAATGATTTCGAATCAATCGAATGAACCAAAGGTCCATAATCCGAATTGCCATTTACAATATCTCTCATACCACCTAAAACATAAATTATATCATTGTGCCCTAAAAATACTGTTGCCTTAGAAAATGGTGGTGGTGGTGAACTTGGACTAAGTAGCTTTATTGGTAATGTGCTACTGTCATTGGCATCATCAATAACTGAAAATGATTTGGACAAATCCAAGTAGATTAACTGATTTGTTAGACCAACAGAAGCACCGCCTAAAAAATAAAGTTTATCATTTATCAAGAGCGAATTGTGAGAGTATAAATTTACTAATTGACCAACCACCAGTTGATTAAAAAAGATCATTATCGTTAAAAAAAGGCATTTGACATAATGATTAAAAGAGAATATTATCATCATTTTTACTATTTCTTTTTAGTTTTCTTTCAAATAATAAAAAATAAAAAAAAAAGAAAGGGCAAGAAAAAAGATATTTTACGCCATTACTATTTTATATTCGTATGTTAGATGATTTCTTTTTTTATCAATGTGAAACACTTTTCTTTATTTGTTTGTTTGAATGCATTTACACAACATTATGTATCATCGAGGTCGCTGCTAGCTAGCTATAAGAGTTTTTTTAAATTTTGTTAAAATAAAAAAAAAGGTTTATAATGCAGATTATAAACACCAAAAACAGCTAATATTTAAAATCTATAGTTCAACAACCAAACACGCCTACCATAGAGTTTTATTCTTTCCCATAAGATTTAAACTATAACGGTTACAAAGTTTGTTTTTATTATAACAATAATAATATTAAGTTATGTCTAAAATCTGCACATATCGATTTGCATAATATATCGTGTCCGCGTGACAATAAATAAAACAAAAATCGGAAAAGTGAACATTTTGTATCACCAAAATAAATAATGTCACAATGGCAACAAAAAAAGAAAAAAGAAAATAAGAATAAGAGTATGGAGTTGAAAAAAGTGGGTATGGTTTGTTAAAAAGAATGGTGGTGTGAAGAAGGAAGATGGGGTGTTAAAATTCTGGACTTTTTCACATCACGCAAAAGTTCTTTTTGCTAAGAAAACAAGCCAGAGGATTGAGATAAATAAATAATGGACTTTGGCCAGTTTCGTTTCATAGCTTTGAACTTGCTAAAGTTTATAAAGACAAGGATTTTGATGTTTTTATTAATGACAAATTACCACAGTTACTCTGCTCTTGCCCTTAGTTATTTTAGTCATTAAACTAGTGCAGGGAAAGAAAAAAAAAGTTTTAGGTAAAATTGTGTGTTAGTGCTTAAACTAATATATACTACTGTACATAACATCAGCAAAATTAGTGCTTTTGAAAGCAATATCCAAATCTTATTGTCTCTTTGCAATGACATTAAGGCTCATTTAAAGCAAGCAAACAAACAGAAAAAATACATTAATATTAATCATAAGACTTCATTTCATATTATTTTCCTCCTAAGAATTTATTTCATCACTTAAAAAATGGGGACATTATAAAACTGATCATATTACAAATTTGATCCCTGAAATCTTTGGTAAAATTACATTAGCTTTATTTCGTTTTATTCGTTTTATTTTACTTTATTTCGTTTTATTTCGTTTTATTCGTTTTATTTCGCTTTATTTCGTTTTATTTCGTTTTATTTCGTTTTATTTCGTTTTATTCGTTTTTTTTCGTTTTATTTTGATTTATTCAATATCAAATTATTATTACTCGAATTATTTGTTTTATTCAAATAAACATTTGAATAGAAAACCCTAACTGCTACTCAAGATATGATATTACTTTAGTAAGAGCTTTAGAAATATTTAACCAATAATTTAATTATAATATAAAGAGCTATTGGTTTATTAAAAGGATTAATTTTAAAAGAATATCTGATAAATATTGGCATTTTCAATATTTACTAATAGGCTTTTAGACTATGTGATAAAAATATTATTAACTTATCAGTATGCTAATACCTTGATTATTTTTTTAAAGAATAATCAGATTCTGATATTTGCTGATACCCCATTACCCAA